ATATTTCTGAGCATACTTTCTGCTGGTGGATGGTGCATTATGGGTATGTCTATTGTATTACTTTAAAGGTTATTTGGGTGGGTGGATTATTCTAGGGAATTCTGCCACAAGGTGTTGACATCAACGCCCACTTATATTTATGTTTACATACGCTTTATCTTTAAAATTGAGCATTTTAACCCATAAATATAGCATATCTTGAAACTATATCTTTATTACATTACACACACACACACACACACACATATATATATATATATATATATATATGAGATAACGAAATATATATTTTTTTTCGTGTGACTTGTTTCGTTCTTAAAGTCAAAAGGTTGAAACGCATTACATGAACATTTTTCCCACTTTACCATTTTTCCCCAATATATATATATATATATATATATATATATATATATATATATATATATATATATATATATAAAAAACATTTTGTCGGTTAGTTATTCTAAACATCACTTGAGAATGAAATTGTCATCTGGAGTAAAGTTTTAATATTGAAATTAAACTTTGGCACTTTAGTTTCAGTTTCGAAAGAGTCGCGATGGAATATATATATATATATATATATATATATATATATATATATATATATATCGAGAGAGAGGGGGAGAGGAAGACAGACAGACAGTCAGACAGACATACACAGGCAGGAGTTATTAAATACGCCAAGACTTTCGGGTGAACTGATTTACAGAAAGACCACATATTTTCTACCGAATATTGAGTGTATTACGTGATTGATTAAATAATGATAATGCTAACTTTGAATGCTTTTTCTATAAACATCCTCTCCAAGAATTATGCTTCCTTTGTCTTTTAAAATATCTGCAACTTGTTGACCTTTAATTGAACTACATTTATCTAGGTTGTCTGTACGTTTCTAATTAACTTATACATAAAGGAATAGATGAGAGAATTATTAAATTATCCAATTAATACAAACCTGTGGATAGTTTTCAGGTCACTATCATTAACGACTGAACGAGTTCTCCCCTGCATTGAATATTGCTGCCATATCTTGTTTGTGCTTTCTCTTATATATTTAGAGATTCTTGATAAAATACAAAGAATCTGCAATGCCATTGGCATCTCGGCTTCAATCACTTTCCTATCGTTATAATGTTGCTTCCTTCGCCTTTTCTATAAATATTTTTATTTTATTCTGACGAACTTTCCACATTCTTTCATTTCTATTTTCCCTCTTTCTTCAGTTTAATTTCCTTTCCACTCCCCCGTTAGGTGACAGAGATGTCAGTTTTCTGCTAGATGCGGGGCGCTTTTCGTTTCTCGAGTGTGTATTTTGTATTTGTTTTTGGATGAGTGTGTATTCGAGTGAGTGATTGGTCGAATGATGGTTATTAATTACCTAGAATAATGCTTATTTAATAATTAATATATTAATTACCTAATCCCGCATTAATATTGTCCTGTTTGATTTTTTCTGCCACATTTAAGGATTGTTGTGGTGGTGCGATATTACGAACACTATTTTGTATTGTATATATATATATATATATATATATATATATATATATATATATTTAGTTTAGAGTTGTTTTTTATCGTTAGTCTCTTCCTTCAAAGTTAACTTAGCTAGTGGATATATGCTCAATGGGTGCTTAAATTTCTGCCCCCCAGTTTCTTTAGTTTAACTCCCCTTCCTTTCCCCCGTTAGATTACAGAGATGACAGTTCTCTGGTAGATGCGGGGCGCCTTTTGTTTTTCGAGTGTGTATTTCGTAATTGTTTTTGCGTTTGGATCAGTGTGTGTTTGGTTGAATGATTGTTCTTTGTATACCTAATCCCGCAAAAATTTCGTTCATTTAACTGATTTCTCTGCCACAATTTTGTTTAGTTTCTTGTATATAAATTGTATACATTGTAAATAGTCATTAGGTTTTCATTTTTAAATATTGTTATCCGCCCCCCACTCCCACCAGACAAATTGTACATATGGGAACTAGTTAAAACTACATAGAGACTCTGAGGTATTACGACGGCTGAAGTAAGAATGTGTTGTTTTGGTGTAAGGAAATCTCTGGTATGTTTGGGTCAGTAATTGTGGCTAGCTTAGTTTCAATTAAGACAGATTATAGACTAGCCTTCCCTTACACCACATTTTGGCCTTGTGTAAGATTTTTGTATTATATCAAAATAAATATTACTTTCCTCTATGTTACCGAGACTCTATGAATTTAATTCCAGTACGAGATTGGCGGTAAGATTTCACCACTGCACAGATGAAATGGTTAAATGTTACCATAAGTTAAATGCACTTCTATCACTCTTCTCGTTTGTGAAAATCTTTTCTGGCTTCTTGCTTCGAAGTCAAATTTGAGTTTCAAAAATTTAAATTCAATGTCAATTGTAATCATTTGTCATCTTAATTCTTCTTTTATTGTCCTCCCTTGTTAATAGTAGTATTACACATATTCTATAACAGTCAATAACCGCTCGCCTCCTAATGGCTTTATTGCCTTCAGGTAAAATGATTAAAAGAAAGTAAACTGTTTATATTGCAAAGTATTTCAATATATAAATGCATTTAAAATCAAGAAGGAATGGATTGTCAGTGGTCAGGAATTAATGCTTTACTTACAAAATCAATTAAATTTATTCATAAAATAAATGCCTCTCTAAGGATTTTGACATATAGATGCATTTAAAATCAAGAAGAAATGGGTTGTCAGTGGTCAGGAATTAATGTTTTACTTACAAAATCGAATAAATTTATTCATAATATAAATGCCTCTCTAAGGATTTTGACATATAGGTGCAATTAAAATCAAGAAGGAAGGAATTATCAGTGGTCAGGAATTAATGCTTTACTTACAAAATTGAATAAATTTATTCATATTTTGATAAATAGATGCATTTAAAATCAAGAAGGAAGGGATTGTCAGTGGTCAGAAATTAATGTTTTACTTACAAAATCGAATAAATTTATTCATAATATAAATGCCTCTCTAAGGATTTTGACATATAGGTGCAATTAAAATCAAGAAGGAAGGGATTGTCAGTGGTCAGGAATTAATGTTTTACTTACAAAATCGAATAAATTTATTCATAATATAAATGCCTCTCTAAGGATTTTGATGTATAGGTGCAATTAAAAACAAGAAGGAAGTGATTGTCAGTGGTCAGGAATTGTACCTAAACTTCATTGTCAGATCAGATGTATTCTTAATGTAGAATCATTGCAAATGATTCTATATGCATCAAAGAAATACGGATTGTCAGTGGTCAGGAATTATATACATGCTTTATTGATTTAGGTATTTTTGGTGTAAAAACAATCATATCACAAGAGAAATGCATTTAAAATCACGAGGAAGATGACTGTCATTGTCAGGTTTTAGTGTTGGTCGCAGAATACTCTAAATACATTGGCTTTCATGATAACGATGTATGATAAAGCATTCTTCGTAAAAAATATCTTGCGTATCAAGAAGCAATTGCCAACGGTCTGTAATTAAGGCAAGCGTTTTTGAGCGTATAACACTATCACATGCATGACGTAAATGCATTTAATCACATTTGTACATTAACACTGTAACGAATCATAAGCGATTCCCAATGAGGATTAAAGATTTCAAAATAATTTTCAATTGACCGTAGCAGCGAATAAGTGCCTCTGTGTTCAAACCAAACTATGACGTCAAGTCGCCATGGAAACACTCTAACGAATCAACGTCTCCCAGCAAACGCTGTCTCCGCTTAGGCATTAACAGCAAAGAGTGATGTGCAAATCTAACCACCATTAAAGTCGGGGAAAATACTTGTAATTTGAAATCAATAAAAAGTTTACTGAAACTTTTTTCAATTCAAATCAGCGTATAAATCCTTTTGCTAATTTAATGTGAGCATCGAATAAAAACAAACAAAAATGGAACTGCGTATAAAAATGTAAACAAATGACGTCACACATTATGAAATGGACAAAGTCCGACAATTATTTTTTAAGACTTTTTTTTTATGTTTATACATTCTTTTTTTATAGATACAAATATTTAAGTAAATGCTCTGTTTATAATAAAACGTATTAACAACATTTACCGGCCTGATAATGTATAACGTCATTTGTTTACATTTGGATACGCATTGAGCAGATATGAATGAATGAGAGAAAATCATGGAGAATTTTATTTAAAAACAGTAAAATCGAACATGCTAACCGAACGCTCTTCTGTGGCCCAATCGCTTAAGGCACGTCAGGCTATATGACGGTTCCGTATAGGATACTGGTTCGATTTCTCTCGGAGGATGCTTATTTTCTGTGAAAATTTCTCGGATATTCAAGCCGGTAAATGTTGTCAATACTGTTTATTATAAACAGAGCAGTTACTTAAATATTTGTATCTATTAAGAAATGGATTTCTTCGAAGGAGATTAAATGCCGAATTAATACGTCTTGTAGTATCCTTTTTATAGTACTTTTACCAGTACTTTTTGATCAGACATCGTATATGTGTATGTGTGTGTGTGTGTGTCCATACGCATCTGTGTAGCATTTTTACCCTCATCTACCAATTTTTTGTGTTACAATTTACCTTGGAGCCCGTGATTTGTGCCATTATTTCCTCTCGTTGCGTATTATCCATTTACTTAAATAATTCTCCAGGAATTCACATCGCTTTTTATCAGTTCAACCTTAAAAAAGTATCTTTTTTCTTTGACATGTCCGTGAAATATTATTTCCCTTAAGCTCCACTCCCCGCACGACCAACCCGGAGCCATTATTCATTTCTGTTTTTTTTAAACCTTGCATTTACCTTCAACTTCTTATCTGAAAAGTGATTTTTTCTAGCTTTCTGTTGTTTCATCTCCGGTCGATTTGTTTCTTTTTTTATACGTTTGTTTATCTTTCGATTTTGCTTTCATCTTTCTTTCATTTATTTTTTTCTTCTTTTCTCTTAAAATACTTTCCTTCTTTTTGTAGCGCGTTAAATTTCTAATTCTTTATCTTTTGATCATTCATCGTTAATGTCCTTTCTTTCTTTCTTTCTTTCTTTCTTTCTTTCTTTCTTTCTTAATACTTCCTCCTTTTCATTCTTTCTTTCTTTCTTTCTTTCTTTCTTTCTTTCTTTCTTTCTTAATATCCCATCCTTTTCTTTCTTTCTTTCTTTCTTTTTTAATACTTCCTCTTTAATTCAGTCATTCTTTCATTCTTAATACTTCCTCCATTTCTTTCTTTCTTTCTTTCTTTATACTTCCTCCTTTTCTTTCTTTCTCTTTTCTTTCTTTCATTCTTTCTGAATTAATATCCGACTTTTCTTTCTTTCTTTCTTAATATCTGCTCCTTCTGTGTATATATTTGTTTTTTTGTTTTTTGTGTATTTCTTTCTTTCTTCATACCCCATCCATTTCTTTCTTTCTTTCATTTTTTCTTTTTTTCTTTCTTTTTTCTTTCTATCTTTCTTTCTTTCTTTTTCTCGCAATTCCTCTCCCTCTTTCTTTCTTTTTCGCCTTCTCCAGTTACCACATTTTGTTTTTATGCCATTTTGTTTCCTTATATAATATTAGTTTCTCTTTCTTTCTTTTCTTCGGCGCATCAAATTATTTTATTTTCTACTTCTCTCTCTCTCTCTCTCTCTCTCTCTCTCTCTCTCTCTTTCCTTATTTTTGTAGTTTCTTTCTTTCTTTTGTTTCATTTCCTTTTCTGTCTTCCTTCTTCTCTCATCATTCTCTGCTTCCGACTTTCTTTCTTTTCACCATCTTTTTACTTAATTTCTATAATCTTTCCTTCTTCAGTATTTTTATTCTTTCTTTTTTCTTCTATTCTATGAACGTTTTCTTTTTCTTTATCATTCTAAATTAGACTCACATAAGATAAGTCGGGGTGACAGAATCCCAGCCGTCGTCCTAAAGAAATGTGCTCCCGAGCTGGATCCTGTCCTCTCCAAACTCTACAACTATAGCCTCACTGCTTCCTGCTTTCCATCTTGTTGGAAGTCCTCCTCTGTAGTTCATGTTTTAAGAACTATATCCCTGTGGCTCTAGATATCTCAAAGGCGTTTAGCATGATTTGGTATGATGGTCTTCTACGTAAGCATCAAGGCTACGTTATTACAGAACGATAGTTTGATTTAATCCAAACGTTCCTATCAAATCGTGAAATAAAGGTCGTTCTGAACGGGTTTGCTTCCAGATTCTTTCACACGAACGCGGATGTCCTCAAGGTCCTATCCTGGGTCTTACGGTGTTTCTGATCTTCATCAATGATCTTTCTGATGTTATCAATTCCCAAGTAGTCAGTTATGCAGATGACACTACAATTTACACTGTCACCTGCCTCAATAATAAATCCGTCAGTGCTGACAAAGTTAACCAGGCCGCTGCTTTTAAAAAGGACTTCTAATTAGTGGTTAACTGGTGCAGGAAATAGCTTGTAAATTTTAATGAGTCCAAAACTAAACTACTCTCATTTAATTCCCAAAGGGAAACTTCCTTGTTCGCTATAAGCATGGCTGATGCTCGACTCCTGGACAGCGTCTCAATGCGCCTTCTTGGCTTCACGTTTTCAACTGACTTGAAATGGAATAACTGAATTAAATCAATAGCTGAATCTACTGCAAGGAAAGTTAGTTCACTGCGTAGTGCCAAAAGTTTTTTTGCGTTAGAGTCCATCTTGAACATTTAAAAATCTACTATTCGGCCGAGCATTGAATACTGTTGCCATATATGGTCTGGTGCTCCTGCTATTCATCTGGAGTTGATTCATCTTGACAAAATCCAAAGAAGGATTTGCAATGTGAATCGATCTTGACTTGGTATTTCGACTTCAGTCACTTTCTCACAGATGTGATGTGACTTCCCTCTGTCTTGTCATGGGAATTGCTCTGATGAATTCCCCCCCTGGTGCCTAACTACATAAATTTAAACGTGATACTAGATTGGCATTAAGTTCCCACCTTTTACTGATTAAATAGTTAAATGTAACCGTCACTTCTACTCCAACAGTTTCTTAAATGCAACGTCTATCGCCTTCTTTTGTTGTCTTGAACCACGTTCAACTGTTATCCTCTCCTCAATCCTCCTTATATTCAGTCTTTTCTTTCACTTTCACTCTCTATAACCCCCTACTTACTAGTAACATTCCCGCCTTGCTTGATGTGAAATAAATAAAAATAAATAAATAAATATAAATAAAATTAGTATTTAAATTATTTTCGATTGGGAGTGATTTATGTGTTATGTGTTTTGAATAACATGAGGTTATGGATTGAACAGTTTTCTTTTCTTTCTTTTTTTTAGTATTTTTGGGATCATATATCTTGGTTTGGGAAAGTAGTTCTTTCAGGAAAACCGATATATATATATATATATATATATATATATATATATATATATATATATATATATATATATATATATATATTTTTTTACCTTGTCAAACCCACCTTGCCTTATTTAATGTCGATATATATACATACATGCATACACACACACACACACACATATATATATATATATATATATATATAGTGGGTAGCAAAAGTATTTAACACATTGGTTTTTCTTTATTTAACACACGTTACTAATATTTAGTACAGTAGCCTCTGTTCTGCTTCACAGCCTCCAGTCGTTTCCCGTAGTCTTCAACTAGTTTCTTGCAGGTACTTGTTGGTATTTTGACCCATTCTTCTTCACAAATTTTCTTCAATTTGTTTAAATTCAATGGATTTCTTTTATGAACTCGTAACTTCAATAGTTTCCACAAATTTTCGATTGGTTTTATATCCGGTAACTGACTTGGCCATTCCAGGACATTAATGTTATTATTAAACCAATTATCAGTTGTTTTAGCAGTATGCTTCGGGCCATTGTCTTGCTGAAATACAAAATCAAGACCATGTCCCAAAGATGTGGCACTGTTCAAGAGTTGAGTTGACAAAATTTGAGTGTATTTTGCAGCATTCATTGTTCCTTCGATGATTTTCATTTTTCCTACTCCATTTGAGGAAAAACAACCCCACAACCTCACAACGGGCTTGTACATGTCGGCGTTTCAGTAATGGAGTCTTTCCCGGTGATCTTGAAGTGAGACCTGCACGATTCAGTGATCTTTTAATTGTATCTTTACTAACTTCAATTCCGGCATTTTTCAAATCATTGTGAATTTCTCGACAAGTTGAAAATGGATTTTTCTTCACAGTACGGGAAATGTATCGCTCATTAGCCTCATTTAAGATACGGGGACGACAACTCCTTTGAATGTTTTCAATAGTATCGAATTTTTTCCATTTTCGAACAACAGCACCAACTGTACTCACAAGCAAATTCAAATCTTGAGCGATTTTTCTATATCCCTTACCATCTTTGTGATTCTTTATGATCTTCTTGCGCATGTCGTTCGACAATTCTTTTGTTTTCACCATTTTCTTGCAGTAGTGGCAACAGAATAGCTGCAGTGTCTCAGAGCTGTTATCTAATAGCCAGTTGAGTGTCGTGCAGTGCTATCATTGGTCGACATATCACATCATATAAATATGGGTAGGAATCATGACGACACGTCTCTTCTAGCATAATATTTGCATTGGTGTTAAATACTTTTGCATATGGGTTATTTTATTTATTGTTAATAAATGTTTCTCAAAACAGTGGTTTTAAATTTTCCTTCTATGTTTTGATCGACAATGTTCGTTTAAATATTTCCTATAAGTTTCGTTGAAATTGATCTGTTATTTTTTGAGATATGTAAGAAAAACCAATGTGTTAAATACTTTTGCTACCCACTATATATATATATATATAAAAACTAAAAATTTCTTGAAGCTATCTATATTAAAAATTGATATCAACCCTTAATAAAATGAATTATGAATACAGCACAAAATTTTAAAAATGTTTACAGTACATAGTTATATGTAGGTTTTAACTAATAGTTTTTTTAAGTGATATGGACATTTCAAAACTTAGTTACTTCCCCTGACGATTACATCGTGAAATTTAAATCATAGAGTACATAGCCTTAGCATTTTTCACTTCACAGTTAAAACATTTTTAGATGATCACAATAATTTGTCTTAGAAAAAACAACAACATCCTGATGATAGCATTGTGTTAATGTCGAAAATACTCGGAATAAATAAATATGTATCAACATGGTAATTTTCTCTTTTCCTTCAGCAAGGATACTGTGAAGCATGTCCGTGAATATGAGATCCTATTGAAAATAAGTAGACAAAACTTGTTTAAAGTATTCAATGAGACATTTCTTAATATATATATATATATATATATATATATATACCGTGCAACAAAAACGTAAAAACAAACGTTGGGAAAATATTCATCAGACTCATACACAAACACATCTCACCATCAAGAACTCTCCACAAGAATATTAATCAGAAATACAAAAGCAAAATAATTAAGAAACCGCCCTTAGAAATAAAACCCACCTGTAAATGTAGATCAACTAACGATTTGCTTTCAAAAAATGTAATATACCAAGCCACTGTAAAATGAGCAGATAACGAAACAATATATATAGGTGTAACTGAAGGACCCTGGAAACAAAAACTACACACATAAATCACCATTTACAAATAGTAAATTCGCGAACAACACAACTATTTCTAAACATATATGGAAAATTAAACAAAGAAAAATAATAACACCAACAATATCATGGAAGTAAGTAAAACAGAATTAACCTACAATAAATCTGTAAATTCTGTCCAGATGAGAAAATGCCTATAATGATCTTCACAGACCAACACAAACTACTAAATAAAAGATCAGAAGTTATCTCAAAATGTAAATACGGAAGCAAATTTTTTCCCACGTTACTTATATATATAAATCTGAAAGCGAATATCTTGTAAAATATCATCATTAAAAATACTAATATAGGCACTACATACAACGTAGATATTGTAACATACTTTAAATTAAACAAATAAGACAACTAACAACGAAAAAATAAATAAAACTTCTAAACATATAACTAAACAAATTAAATGTAAATAATAAACTAATTAACAAACTATGTATGTACATATGCACACAAGTAAATGTAATAATAATAATAAACATCAAATAATAAAATTACCACTAATAAAAGATGAGTAAAATGTTCAACTTAGTGCACACTTTTACACATAAATAGCATAGACCATAAAACAGCATATATTAAATCTATATTTTTATATATATATATATATATATATATATATATATATATATATATATTTTTATTTATTTATTTTTAACGTTCTTTTTTAATAGATAATTTGTATATTATTAGTAAATGAGTTTATAATAAACAGTGACGAATAATTTACAGGATCCGGAAATTTTTTTTTTTGTTTTGGAAGTGTTTAGTAAATATTATTTAAGTACTGTCTGATTTGGTACAGAAAGTTTAATTAAATATTTTTATCTATATTTTTTTTTAAAAAATTCTGAACGTTAAACATAAAAAAGTCTTTAATAAATAAATATATATATATATATATATATATATATATATATATATATATATATATATATATAAGAAAGAAATATATAAATATGGTGCTATATTTATGGGATAAATTGTCATTATCAGAGATAGTGAGTTTAAATCATAAAAAGTGAAAATTGTCTTAATAGGCGACAGGCTGTTTCATGGTAGACG